TGTCACCTTTGCTCTGGGTAGGACCATGACACAAAGGGGAGATTTCCCTCCTGTCACACCAGGTGGGGGAGCAAAGGAGGAAGGATTCTGCTGCCAGTTCTTACCCAAGTGACAATCTTGGCTCTTTTTCGTTCTTCAATTGTTTGTTGCGGCCACAAAGCAAAGATTATTGCTTTTATTTGGTGCTGGGTTACAGATTTAATTAGGAAGAGCTGACTAAAGAGGCTTGCTGATTTTTTTTTGTCCTCTTTGGCAGTTTCATAATAAATAATGTGGAAACAGAAATGTTTTTTTGCTATTGTTCTTTCCTGGCTAGATTGGCAGGTTACAATTGGTTCGCAGAACTACTCTTGCATGTGGGGAAACCAGGAGATAACATAATCTTTCCCCCTTCCACCATCTGACTGCAGAAGTTATGAAATASCAAGTGGTTTTACTTAAGAGTGTTTGTGTTCACAGAGCTAAAAGAGCTGCTGCCTCTGCTGTTTTGTTAGCTGGAAGAAAAGACCTTGGGCAGTGGTGTCAAGGGGATGCAAAACTTTTCATTGTAGGTTTTTCKTACAAAYAAGACAGATTGATWGCTTTCAAGTTTCTGATTTTATAAGAATCCATTGGTTTTCTCTGATATAGCACATATTTTTGTAAGCAGGAACGGATGCTGCATTTAGATTTTCATATTTTTCTCATTACATTTGGCTTTTGATTTCAACATCAAAACAGAGTGTAGGTAAGTGGGAGTATACACCTGGAGTTACAGAGAAATTCTCACAGCTGCACTGTCAGGTTTTGAATTCTGCTACCAAAAGTCTCATTATTTATGAACAAAATCCCTCATCYGCTGTGCACCACTGCTTCTGGAAAGGCGTGAATGAGCAGGTACTGAATCAATGCCATAATCAGAGGTTTTTTGCTCAGTCTGTAACTTGGAACATCACTTTTTTTTTTTTTAATCTGTTCTTAATTTTAGGCTTGTTCAGCTTGGAAGCTTCTGCCAGTAATTTAAACTCCAGCTGGCAAAACTCTGGGACTCAGGGGAATATTCAAGRCTGTCCTCTCTGCCAGAGTTGGTAGCGGGGAAAGAACAGACACCAAGAAGAAACTTMACAAATGAACATGTAAAAATATGTAAAAATTAAGCAAAGCAGCTTTCTGCATAGGCATCATGCTCAAATTGGGCTCAAAGGTTTCAAACATCAATTTTGAGTATCTCAACATTACTTATATTTTGCAATAATTTATTTTGGCTGTAATTCCCCAGAAAGAATTCACTATTTCCAGCTTTTGTTCCAGCTTAAAGCAATTTTCTGTTGTTTTGGCTGTTAGTAATTACTCAAAACAATCTCTGCCTATAGGGTCTATGGTCTTCCRGRTTCTCAGGTACATAMCTAAATGTAAAGAGATAAACAATATTTCTGAGTGCAGAAAAACTGCTCAAGTGGTTCAAGTTAGRTATGTGGGTAGATCTGGTAGTGTTGGAAAAGCATCTATATAAATTATAATTTACATAATTTTTAAAATAAGCATTTCTCTTCCATAATGTACACAAATACATCCCAAAATTATTATTAACAGCACAGAACATGCTAAAACCATAACTGGTAACTGCAGAGTTAAACCATGTCTGAAGTTCTGCAGTTTGATTTCCTTGGAAAAGTAGTAAGTTTCAGTATTGCTCCATGATTTTGAATCCTTGTTTAAAACCATGGTGGAAAAGAAGAGAACTGTACAGTAAAAGCATAAAATAAGTAAATAGAGAGTGAAAAGGTCTAGTATCTCTGCAAAGTCATGCAGTTCCTTCCAAAATCAACTTCATGCATGTTGTTCAATGTAGAAGGAATCGATTAAAAAAAAAAAAAAAATAAAATTTAGTCTTTGATATGAGCAGCTGTTGGTGAGATAATTTGCTTTCTTGCTGCTAATATGTTCATGAATTTTATTAGGAAAATCTGCCTCATGTCTTGAACCAGAAGGAGGACAAAGGAGATAGCATATTGCACGCATGATGCAAGGAGTACAGTAATGCAAAACATCTGGGTGGAGTGGGGGACAGCTCAAACTGATGTTGTCTATTAAAAAAGCAACCTTCCCTTTGTTTATTTTTTTCCTTTTTGCACAGAATTAAAAAGAACAAATGACATGGATAGATTTCTAATTGAAGAAGTGAGGTCAGGTTTTTTTTTTAATCCACTCAAATAAGTTTGCAATCCTGAATGATCTGGGTGAAAAAAGTTTACATATAATTTTTTTGACAAGGTGACTTTAGAGTCACCCTCTAGTTGATTTTAAACCAGAGCTGAGCTGCACAATTTTCCATGAGAGAAAATCTGTTTATTGATAAATAAATAGCTCCTAAAAATATGAGCTTTACTTATGACACCCTATAAAGGTAATATTGATTCAGTTACTAATATAAGCAAACCAARTAGGCTTTGTGTTTTTTCAGGTTTGCATAATAAATGTGAACCTATTCTGTCAAGTCATTAGCAGATAATAAGTCATGAACAATAAATATCTGCATCCCAGGCATAAATATGTGAACTCTTGGGACTTCCAGGCATTTCTTGGAAATCTGGGAGCTGCGTAAATGGTTGTGAGTAAGTGTACACAATTTCCCAGCAGCGGTGAAATAAAGTTAACTCTTTTTTTTTTTTTTTTTTTTTTTTTTTTTTTTTTTTTTTTTTAAAAATTTTTTTTTTTTTTTTTTTTTTTTTTTTTTTTTCCCACTGATTAAAAAAATTTATTCACATTGCCCTCATTTTTGTCTACAGGGTATTACGATTTCATATTCGTTCAGAGGGTGATCCTGGTAGTTGCTCTAAGTTTGGCATCTGGGGTCTGAGGGAATGTTTGTGTTGGCTGCAAAGCCAATTCCATCCACATTAAGGAACCTGATCCTRTGATTAGAAAGCAGAGTTTGAGACTTTGCTGCCTCCTTTCCATTTTGCCATTGAAGAAAAAAAATAAAAAAAAATAATAAAAAAAAAAAAGCTGTTGAGGAAAATTGGTGAATTCTTTGGTAGAGATTGAACAGCTACCACTCGTGTGCGCTCCCCAAGCTGTGAAGTAAAACTTGTGTGGTTTAAACTGGCCCCAGGCAAGCAGAGAAGGGGAAAAAAAGGGCAAGAATTTGTTGAAGCTTGATTGTGAGAGCACTGTCTCATACATTGGGAAAAAGCAACAAACACCCACTCCAGGTTGTAGAGCGCCAAACATGAAAATCTCTCGTGTTTAGTCTGTGCTTTGCTCAGTGGAGTTTTGAGGACTTCAGTCCTTCTTGCTCAACTGAGTGTTTTAACTTTAAATAAATAAATAAATAAATAAATAAATAAATAAATGTCTATATAGAAGCTAAGTCTTCATAAAACCACAAAAAGTTTTAACTTCTGGTAGGGAAAAGAATCTGTTCCTTTTTTTTTTTTTTTCTGCTGGCAAAGAGCACCACCACTTCCAAACACAGCGACGTCATATTTTCTTGCCCTCACAATTTCCTTTTCACTTTCATTTCTCGTTCAGGAGAGTTGAAATATCAACCCTTTAACCTCATTTTCCTGCTCTGTGATTCTACCTGTTCTCATACAAATTTTGAGCAGCCATCCTCTGACCAGMCTTCCTACTTCTGGGTAAATCAAACACGTCTCTTGCAAAGGTGGCATTTTCAAAGYTGAGTGTGTGAAACTGAACAAATATTTTGTGTGACCCTGCCTTGGACATGTGGAATTCATATCTGTAACTATCAGAGGGGCACCTCGTTAGCCATGAGTGTGTGAAAAGTCCTGATTTGTGTGTTCACACCAATTATGCTTGAGTAAAAACTGTAAAATAATGTACCTGTTTTGATTTCTGCACGTGAGGGGATGAGACTTACTTGCTCTGTTAGARGCTAAGCAAGATTTCATTTTGCAAGAATTTGTAGATGTAGTTGTGTCTGTCTGGCAAGCAGYGAGTCCTTATAAGCACAGACTGTTTAATTTGTTCTTCATAAGCTTAGTGTGACATAAAAACCCTATTTTGCTCTTTATTCATGTCCTTATAAGGCTTTTGACCCTCAATCACTCAGCAGTTAACAGTGCTGGATGAAAACATTGCCATCTTCCACTCATCTACTCCATTGTCCTTCTGAAGATTACTGACCTGGAAGAACTGGCAGAAGGGAAGATGTTTCCAACCTGGGATTTTCCTGAGGAGAACCTGTTTTCTGAGCACTCACATTTCTCTGGAATTTAAAAATCTGCTGACAGACCTGGCAGTGCTGGCACACATTTCCTCCTCAGATGGCATGGAAATGTGGGGTAAAAGGAGTGCACAAGGAGCAAGGCCACCAGRTTCTTGAAAAAAATCACAGTTTGGTTCATTGGAAGGACTTTGATTTGTGTCTYCTGTTCATCATCAGGAATTTCAGACCTGCATCTTTGAAGTGTTTCCCAAAGATCAACATCGTTTGAGCATTATTAAGTGTATGATGTTACGGTTCACCATTCTCACCTTTCTCCCCAGTTAATTTCTCAGTATACTTTAAAGGAGCGAGGGCTCCTTTTTGCAGTTTGTAATTGTGTGCTGAAAATAAACTAAGAGCAGGATTTCACTCCCTTTTTACATCTGAATTGGATATTGCAGCAAGGTTTGAAGATAACCCACAGGCTTGCAGCTCTATGTCATTTGTGACATTTTAAGATATGGTTTTATGTTCCCAGATCAGAACCTGGCTGTCTGATAGGAACTCATGTGACAAAAGGACTTCCAGGGATAATTATATAAAAGACAAATAGGAAGAATATTTCTACTTTTTGCACTTCATATGACTTTAATTTAAATGTTCTACAGCTTTACAGTGTGTTATTGCATGCCATTCAAAGCTCTAAACAACCACCTAAAACATTTAAATTTTACTTTTTTTTTTTTCAGCATGGCATTTAGTTTGAGTTGCAAACATTCAAACTAAAGAATTAAGGTAAAATTAATTTGTGTACTGACTGCATTTCTTTTCTCTCTTTTTTTTTAAGCTAAAAAAGTCACAACAGAACCTACAACTGTCGAGCCTGTGACATCCCTGAGGACTGACAGCGTGAAATTGTCACCTGCTGGAATTTCTTTCGAACCTCCCCTCTCTGAGACTCCGATCACTGAAGTGCCTGCCACCCAAACATTTGCTTTGGAGCAAACAACCTCAGAGAGTGAAGAAGACACAGACATGACTACTGACGTGGTCGAGGAGAAAAGGGAGATGGAGGTGCTCAAGGAGAACATTCAGTTAACCACCCTTCTACCTCAGACTGTCACCGACGGCGAAATATTCACTTACGACACGCTGGGCAGGACTGAATWCGACGTGACAGAGACCACGTCCCCAGCTCTGGAGCTGGATCACACTTACTCTGAGGCAGAGCTGCCCGAGGAACAAGGTAGGTCTGAAAGCATTGAGGACGCTTTCTTGACCTCTGTAATTTTTCAGGATAGCACAGCTGTAGCTAAGAGCCCCGYTGGTTTTTGGGAAGATGCTGAAACGGGAGATGCTGTAAAGCACGATGCCGATAATCAGACTGAGCAAATAGAAGTGGGCCCTTTGAGGACAGCCACAGATAGCTTCTTACAGACTYCTCGCAGAGAGGCTGCCAGGACAGGGACTTCAGAGTCACTGACGAGAGGGATTCTGYCTCACGGTGCCCACCTTGCAAATGCACCCACAGAAAAATCCATGGAGGCCAAATCTGGCGAGGAGCTGGCCACTGTTGTGATCCCTAAAGCTCTGCTGAACGCTGGGTCTGACCATGCTGCAGAGGGGGAGGGCAGTGAGAGCATGCCTGGTGGAGATTCTGGAGTGGCTGCTGGTAGTGCCCCAGGATCTGAAGTGCCTGCWGCATCAGGGACACTCCTGGACGAGCACGCAGTCACCACTGGACAGTTCCCTGCAGCCARAGAGTCAACGCCGTTTGTTAAATTTAGCTCTGCGACAGCGTTGGACAGTGAGAGCTCAGCTCAAGGGAGCAGGGAGGAGCTGGGGGATGTGCAGCCCACCGTGGCAGCTGGAACACCTGTATCCTTTTTTGTGTCAGCTGTYGATCAAACAGAATCCGAGGCTGTCTCAGGAAGCACTGATTTCCCACCAATCTTTGGAGAACTCACCACATCTGTTATCCCCTGGGCTCAGCAGACGGAAGTGTCAGCTGGTTTAGAGGAGCAGGAGGAAACAAAGGAGCCAGAAATGAGGMCAGAGGATGTGAAGGTCCCTCATTCCACAGCCTTCATTCCTCCTTGTGTCACAGCAGAAGCTGAGGGTTGTTCTGCAAGGGAGAAGATCACACAGGCTCCTCCAGGCTCTGGCACGTGGCTGCCAGCAGATAAAGAGGAGGGTTCTGTGACAGAAGAGTCCTCTCACACTGAAAGGGTGATTGAGCTTGCTACAGAGGATGGCTTCTCTGGAATGGAGCCTACACTATCTCCAGGGCACACTGCAGAATCCACAGTGCAGCCAGGAGCTCCAGTTTCAGCAGCTGCAGATGAGACTGAGACAAGCACAGAGCCAGCAGAGACCACAAAGGGTGAAGAAGTGGCACCAGCTGATTTTGGTCAGAGTAGAGACACTACAAGTGTCCCCCACACCAGCAGCTCTTGGGATTTGGGAGTGACCAGAGTATCCAAAATACCAGTGGAAGGAAGCAGTGCCACCATAGGGCCCTTGAGYTCCTCCAGTGTTACTGTAGAGCCGAGCCCAGGGACAAAGGGAACTATTGTATTTACAGATGTATCACAGCTAGACACTTCAGTGCCACAGAAGGAATATTCTGCTTCCCTAGTCCCAGTTACYGTAGACAGTGAGGTCACTAGAGATGTGCCAATTACTGATCAGACTCCTTTTGATGATATCTTTCATACAGAAGCAACAGAAACAACTGCAAAGCGTAGCGAGGTGTTCCCAGAGGAACTCTCCACACAGGACCAAGCCTGGGGACCAGGAACTGCCACAGAGCCCACGATTTCTGTGACATCTGCCCACACACAYGAAGCAGAGATGTCACCAGCACCTGAATCACCTCAAACAGCGGTTCAGGATGAGACAGGCTCRGCTTATGATGAGATGTACCCAACAACAGAGGTAACCGTGCCTGCAGCGGAGTTCACAGACCACGGAGGAGTTCTGGGACACGAGGAAACCAGCACCTGGCTGCACCTCACAGTGACTCCCACAGCTGAAACAGCTCCTGGCCAGGATGAGGAGGTCACTGAAGTGATGGCCATRACTGCTGGAACCCAAACAAAGACACAGGATGTCCCCACCACGGAGGAAGGCGGTGATGCAGCGAGCTGGGAATCTGTGCCACCTTCCCATAGGATGCCARCAGGACATTCCACTGTGGAAAGCATTACTCACCTGACCTTGGSAGCTTCTCCAAGCCAGGCTACGGAAGGTTCAGGAGTAACTTCAGAACCTGAGGAAACAGTGCCAGCCGTGTTTGCAGCTACTGCCACAGATAAGGCCACGATTGTCAGCAGCGTCACGCCGTCCATCGKTGCTGCGGACAAAACTCAGCCCACGTCTGCATCCAGACCTTTCAGCACTCAGAAAACCCCACACCTCATCCCTGATGAAGAAGAGGAGGTAACGAGCCACGACATCATCATCATTGATGAATCTGTCTCTCCCAGCAAGGCCACAGCTGAGGATGATCTGCCTGGGAAGGTGCTGGAGCCAGAAATCGATACGGAATATTTCACGGCATCAACCGCCACGGCAGTGGCACGACCTACTGCTCCACCCCAAGAGAAGGAGGCCACRGAGGCCTTGCAACCTCAGGAGGTGTCTCCTTCCACTTCACACCCCGATAATGACATAAGATTGTATGTTATTCAAATCACAGGCAATGACACAGGTAAGATTTTGCCTTTTAGAGCCGCAGTCCATCAGAGTGGACASTTTGTCATGACAGAGAGGTGTGCTTTAGAGTGTGCTGGAGATGTTTCTTGGATCCCTGGAGGATGCAAAGTACCACTGTTGTCTAGGCAGCAGCTTACCYAATATTGGTAGGTCTATTTTTCTGTCCGTTTAAAGCCCCTCAAAAATGTATTTTATCTATGCTGTGTGGTAAGGATAATTTCTATGTAAGAATGAACATGAAACTGTTAYATTTCCTCTTAAAAGTCATGATGGCTACAGTCCAGTTTTCTTTTTGAATGTTGTCTAGTCACCAATTTAACTCCAGCTGTCTGTGAAACAAGCATTTTAATTTCACAGCTTCCATTCCATGCATTACTAGTCCTAAACGAAGCACTAGATTATTTTAACATTCCATTGGTCTGTAGCAATTAACAGTGCCATGTACAGTGTAGTCAGCTAAAAAATGGTCAAAGCTCTCCACTGCCTCCTGTGATTTGGAGGAATGGGTTTTTCCCATGTTTTGATAGCATATTATAGCATTTTTTAAATCTGTCTGAGAGAATATGGGATGCAAATTAATGTGATTTTTTATTCCTGCCACATTTTTTAGCTGATGGTCCTGTACATGTGTATGTAGCTTCAATTCCATGGGTATCCAGAACAGAAACTTATGAAGTGGTGTGGAAATGTTGGATTTTATGATGAATATGTCTCCATAATGAAACAGTTAAGGGGGGTGCAATTTTACATTAGAGAAGCCTGTCAACTGATTATTATTTAAGATGTCGTGGTAAAACATTATATTTTAAAATGAATGTAAAGGAACTGACAACCAGGACAAAGCACAGAATTTCTGTTAGGTTCAATGTTTTATTCCGTTYAGTTATTTTATAGTTGCATAATAATTATTTTCTCTTTTAAAGGAAAACAATAAAAAATGGATTTTATGTCTTATATGCTTTAACTGCAAGCATTGCTTTTGAGTGGTGGTGTCAGAAACTGTTTTCTCTTTGTTTCTCTGCCGTAACCTCCGTGACTCTGAAGAACTCATCCAGCAGAATTCTCAATTTATGGGAGTCTTTTGAATGGTTTTGTCAGGTTTGTGCTCAGTAGGGTTCCATTCAAAAATCAAAAGCCAGTAGAGTTTTTTTTCCTTGAGATGTGCCATATCCTGGTTGGACATTTCATACCTTGGCTTGATTTTTTTTTTTTTTAGGTTATGCTTATTTATATTTACAGGATGCAAACCTGCACAAGTTTTATCAACAGCAGCTTAGCCTTCTGTTTCAGAAATTGAGAGTTCTGAAGATTTAGTTTCTGTGTTATATTTTCATAATTTTGTTTTTGTGGGTTACCCGTGTCTTGAGAGTCTCCATTAAATGATACAGATCCAGTATGGCAGAACAGAAGGGTTATTCTTGAAGACAAGAATTAACCCACATATTAAATCCTTTTGTACCTGTGTAAATTAAATTAATTTGACTTAATAATGACTACCTGGACTAGGTAATAATCTTGTTAGATTTTGAGTTATGCTGTGGTTTATTTCACATAGGAGAGCGAGTTAAGTGATGAGTTGTGTTCCAGGTGATGGAAAGAAGTAGGATGGCTTGGAAAGGTGTGGATGTAGGATTTCTCTGCATGTACATCAAAGAGAGCTTTATTTTACACCTTTTTTTTTTTCGGAATAATATGGATGCTGTGAAAATAGGATTTAGTTAAAAGTGGGTTATCTAGAGCACAGTGGATCMAGGTGTAGATGTTCTTACTCTGCCTAGGGTGATCAGGTCTTCAGGACAAACTTTCTTCAGGATTTTTTTTTCCTCATCTTCACAAACTTTCAAAGCTGTGCATGCATTTCCCTGGTTCATAGATGTGCCCGTGTGTGAGGGTGTTTACAAGCARAGTTAAAGTTATTCATCCTTAAAAATCTGCCCTTAAGAATTATTTAGTCTGTGAGCAGAGAGAAAAGATTTTTCCTTGACATATGATTAAATTCTCAGTGTGGGACTATCTGTGTTTCCTTTCAACACAGAGAGCATCATTATGTGTCTAGTGCAAAGTTAAAAAGGAGGTTTTTTTATTTTTCTGTGCTCAGGCTCTGGAAGTGGGAATTCCTCCACTTAGCCATCCACAGACTAAAGGTATCCTTTACCTATTTAGCACAAATTCAGTTAGAATTGTCAAAAATTTATTCTCTCAGAGAGTTTGGACTGATTTCTTTTGCAGCTATAGAAATAAAAGACTGAAGGATCTGCAAAATCCTGTCAGGTCATTTTGCTTCATTGTTCCTTAGTCCATAAACTTTCTTTGTGCTAAAGAAAATGTGTACAGGGGGTGATGAAGAGGAATGAATTTGGCAAATCTTACCCACATATGCCTTTTACCAGAATATAGAGTTTAACTTCTTATTCTACCACTTTTTATCTGAAAATTTATCCACTGCCATAAAGAACTACATAAACTGTACCTCTGGCTTTTTTATTGATCAGCAACTATAAATACAGTTTTCATCATTACATCTCTGATAAAACAAAGGGTTTTTTTTTGTTTTTTTTTCTTCCTTTGGCATGTTTTCAAGGTAATACAGCTTAGCATTTTTAGGTTAAATTAATCAGTGATGGTTATAAAAAAAGACTTGAATTGATTTTCAAATCAAGAGTCCAAAGGTGCCTCCTAGGAAAGGACAGCTTGCTCACCAAAGCCCTTCAAAAATATTATTCCTATTTCACATAGGAATAATAATGAGAGGTTATATATAGATGGTATTGTCTATAAACGAATATATTTCCCTTTTTTTGTGTTTGCAGAAGTCCTGGAGCTATTTATGAGATTATTCTTTCCCCCCCTCATTCTTCACCTCCTCATTATTCAGCTTTTGCCAGAAGCAACAGTTTAACTGCGAGGCAGGGCTCAGCAGAAATTCAGCACCGTGTTTTGTTTCCTATCACTCAATTACAATAAAAACTTGCCATTACACTGCTGAATATTGCTCTCTGCAGCTCCATTTGCCATCCACAGCGTGGGCACAGTAATATTTAAGTGCTCCATGGAGGTGCCATTAGGCTTTGTTATTTAGGAACAGTATTTTTACATTACACGTGGAAGAGAAGGCTCATGCTAAAGGGGTGAATTTTTGGTAATTTGAGGTATTTTTGGCAGTTTTCTCTCACACAGGACAGAGAGCATCCCCTACAGAAGAGGGGGTGGGAGCAGWGCACATGTGGAAGGAGAAGCAGGAAGGATTTCCCATGCCTTTCTCCCCCTAAATATAAAAYAGTACAATCTATAACTGAAAGTTTTTAAATGTTATAATTTCTAAGACCTTTGATTTAATAGACCAGAAAAATTTTCTCATAGAGGACTTCTTTTCTTATCCAAGGGCTGAATATCTTTATTSCTAGCTTTTAAAATGCATGCTTGCAATCAATTAATACTTTCATAAAGGACGTTTCAGTTCCTTTCAGATAAAAAAAAAAAGACCCAAACAAAACATGGAAACAGAAGTAATTTGGAGGCCTGGTAGAAGGTCAAGCTCAATTTAAATTCTGGAGGATGTGTTCTAGGGCTGATAAGGAAGAACAGAGAGCTGAGCAGATGAAGTGGTGACTTGTGTAAGAACACAGCAGTTTTCACTGAGGAAACCCTACAAACAATCCACACACTTCCATGGGGCAAACTTGAGGCACAAATTAATCAGGGTAATGAAACACCTTTTTTTTCTGCTGGCACATGGGCAGATCTAGGGCAGGTGTTTCAATTGATGAAGAAAACATCCTTGAACATGAAGGAACATCCTTTTTTTTATGGTACAAAAAGTTCATGGTTCACAGTGAAAGGGGCTTGGGACCTTCACTCACTTGAGTGGAATGAGAAACTTTTTACTCAGAATTATGGAAGTGAGGAAGCCAAACACGCCCTAAATTTTCAGGTAGAACCACATGAACTGCATCAAATGGCACAGGAGTTTGTCTTTCACTGTGAGGATGCAGCATTTTCCTTCTTGTGCCCTATTGTGTCTTCACAGCTCCGATGTGTTGCAGTGGTGAGGGCTGCTGGAAGGTCATGAATTAACAGCTGGGAAAGAAAAAAAAAAAAAAAACCAAACCTGAAGGAACTTTTCAGCTCATAAAGCTTTTATGAGCTGAAAAATGCTTGTGGGGGTGTTGTTTAACAGCGGTTGAGGGGATGCTGGAAACATAACTCCTGTCTGAATCAGGAGTAATTTGCACACCTGCGTTTTTTGGAGACGTTTAAAAGTCTTTATTTAGTGAATATGTTTCAAAGTGCTTATTGGACCCTGGGACTCACMCCAGCACTGTCTGGTTTCTTGTCCCCTCCAGCTTTGGAAGAGAATGAAATTGCAGGRACTCGCGCTTTGTAGATGTGGAATTTTATGGGAAGAGGTTACAAACCTTTGTGTTTCGACATGTAATTCTCTGACATGCATATTTCTGTCTCAGCAGTGTGAGAGGGCATGTGAAATTTGAATGAAATGCAGAATGGTAATGAGTCATAGCCATAAACCTTAACAAAGGAGGCAGAATAGAGTCTTTTCAGGTCGATCTTAGGCCTTGCCTTAAAATTCATTTAATCCTGTTGTCTTCACATCTCCTTCTGGAGGGCTGTCAAAGATCRTCATGGCTCTCTCTAAGCCTGATTCTAATATCTAGCCTGAATTGCTTCTTGGCCAGTTTATACCCGTGTTTATTCTTGCCAGCATTGTCTTTAGCTTGAATAGGTCTTTTTTCTTCCTGACACTTATCCCTTGATACTTTTATTTCTCTGCTCAGTCGCAGAGAATAACCACGTCCCCTTTTTCCAGCCCTCGTTTTTGGTGACTCGTGAGGGGGGAGAGAGTGGGAACTCAGCGGTGCTGGCCCTATTCYKGGGGGTTTTRGGATGATCAGAGCACAGCAGGGATGGGAGCAGAGAGCCTTCAGCCTCTTCCAGGCAGCTCCTCACTGGCAAAAGACACAGCTTCAAAGCTTTCAT